CACGGTGAACAAATTCTCACAGCACCCAAACACACCATCCTGAAGCTCACGCACATCTCTGCACCTTCGCATCTGCTTTCCCCTTGCAGGGTACACCTTTCTTCTTTTGCCTGCTTAGCAAACTTCTATTTAGTCTTCAAGACTCAATTCAAAAGGGTCAGCTCTTCCTGGAGCTCTGCTCTTCTCCTGACCCAGACGGTTGCTCCCTTTCCTGCGGCCCCCATACATTCAACTATTATGGCATCTGTCCATCCACCCGCCCATTCATCCATCCATCATCCGTCTACCCATCCATCCACCCATCCATCTATACATCCATTATCCATCCATCCTGCCATCCATCATCCATCTACCCCTCCATTCATCCACCCATCTGTCCATCCACCCACCCATCCATCAATAATCCATCCATCTGTCCTTTTAGATTTATTGAGCAACTACCATGTGCATCTCTGATCACATGGTTTTGAATGAGTCTGGCTTTCTATAGACCAATGATTCTTAATCTTTTGGGGGTCAAGGTCAATGTCTCCCAGAAAAACATGTATATGCACACACATGCTGGATGTTGCTTTCTTCTTCAAAGATTCTTGGTCATCCCTGAAGCCAGTCCCTGGTTGTGGTAGACACTGTGATGTGGTGTTGAGATCTCTAGCTGGGAGTCAAGGACTTACCTCCTCAGTTGCTGGGAGTTCGGCTAACAGACAGCCCTTAGCAGTCAGCCTTCTTTGGGGGTTGTCTTGAAGACACTGCCTTATCCAAAGTCACATCTCCTTCCAGGGGCAGGCTCACTCCCAATGACAGGTCAATGCTGTGGTGTAAGGCCATGAGCCTCTCACCCGAACTCGGGACAACTCTGAAAGGCATCTTAGCTTTAGAGCTCCCTGTGGGGTTGGCTGAGGCTTTTGGCAGGACTGCCGTGAAGCTTAACTTCCCCTCTGCCCTAACCTGCCACCTTCTCCTTTCCACAGGTAATTTTTCCAAGACCACTTTCTAATAAATGTCCTGCACTCTAATCTCCATCTCTGAATCTACTTCCCAGGGAATCCACTGGATTAAAAAGCCCTGCAGAAGCCAGGCATGGTGGCACAAGCCTGCAGTCCCAGCAACTCAGGTGGCTAAGGTGGGAGGATCACTTGAGCCCAGGAGGTCAAGGTCACAGTGAGCTATGATTGTACCACTGCACTCCAGCCTGGAAGACACAGGAAGACCCCATCTCTAATAAATAAAATAAAAAGCCCTACAGAAGTTCCTTGAGGACAGAGACTGTTTTAATGACTTCTATATCTCCAGCAGCGATCACTGGGCAGGGCACATTGTAGATGGTCCAGAAACACTGACGGGATGCATTTGAATGCATTTTCCTCTGGTTCTGTGTTCTGTCCTTCTGTTGTTCCCCAGCAGGAGAGTTCTCATCCGACATCCAGAAGAAGATGGCCCCACCAGCAGGATGGTGGTGGGACTGGGGGCTGCTGGCTTGTTTCTGGGAAATATGTTAGTTGCCAACGAAACTAAATAACCATGGGAACAGACGTCAAGCAAATTGGTTACTACAAAGCAGGGGTGAAGGGACCTGGCTAATGTCAGGGCTGTGCAGTTAGGGTGAAGACTCCATGGGATGGCTGGGAGACTGGAGACTGGCAGGAATGGGTGGCAGTGGGAGGGAGCAGCCCCTTCTTACAGGGCAAGTCATTTGGAAGTTAGAACCTGTAAAATCCCCCACTTTAGTTTCCACTAGTGGAAATTCCTACAAAAAACAAGCATCTGGGCCAGGCACGATGGCTCACACCTGTAATCCCAGCACTTTGGGAGGCTGAGGCAGGTGAATTACCTGAGGTCAGGAGTTCAAGACCAGCCTGGCCAACATGTACTAAAATACGAAAATACAAAATACTAAAAATACAAAAAATGCTGTGGTGTAAAGCCATGAACCTCGCACCCCAACCCGGGACAACTCTGAAAGGCATCTCAGCTTTAGAGCTCCCTGTACTAAAAATACAAAAAAGTAGCCAGGCATTGTGGTGGGTGCCTGTAATACCAGCTACTTGGGAAGCTGAGGCAGGAGAATTGCTTGAACCCGGGAGGTGGAGGTTGCAGCGAGCCAAGATCAAACCATTGCACTCCAGCCTGAGCAATAAGAGCAAAACTCCATCTCAAAAAAAAAAAAAAAAAAAGCATCTGTTAGGTCCATGCTCAGTACCAGACATTGCAGCAGAGATGGGGATCTCAGTAGGCCAGAGCTCCAACACTGGCTCTTCCTCTCATCTGGGCGAGTTATGTGACATTCTTCCCGCTCCACTTCCTGAGTGGTGATGACTATGAGCCCAGCACTGTGTGTTTTACCTACATTATTTTATTTCACCTTCACAGTAGCTTCCTTCAGGTATATATATTATTATTCCTTCTGTAGAGACAAGGAAACAGGCTCAGAGAAGATCAGCAACGTGTCCAAAAGCACACAGCTAATCACAGCACAGAGAGACATGTCTCTCAGTCTACGGCATCTGGAGGCTGTATCTTTAGCCACTGTTATGCTTACCCACTTGGAGCTTAGTTGCCACAGCTAGGAAAGAAATACAATCAGTCCTTACTGCACCGGGCTGTTACAGATTAAATAACCTATGGCAAAGGCCTAGATGGTGCCCAGTGAACACTCTGTTCTGTTCTTTCTTCCCCATTCCCCAGCCCACTGCCTCATCACTTCCCTGGGCTGGGAGGAAGGCTGACTCCAAAAACGAATGTCTCTGTCCCCAAGTCCAGCAGTGTCTGCCATGTGGCCAGCACTCACTGAATGCTGTCGACCTAAATGGATGGCCTGGGAGTTCCCACCCTCAGTCCATCACTAGTGTGTGATGCAGGAAGCTGCAGCAAGTACCATGAGAATTCTCTTGGTGCCATATTAACTACTCTTAAGCCACTGGGATTTGCAGGTTTTTCACAGCAGGATAGAGCAGAAACAGATGGAGACAATCCCTTGAGCCCTTAAGGCAGAAAAGGGTACTGGAGTGAAGATGAAGGTATGCCGGGGCCTGCCTGATGGCTCAGGTCCCTCCCACAGGCAAACTGCAGCCTGTTCTCACAGCCACCACAGCACCAACTGTGGACGTCCTCACATATTGGGGGCATTAACCTTCCTTCCACTGTGGGCTCCTGGGAGAGGCGGTGGTCATGTAAGCACTTAAAACTCGAATCTGCAGGTCAGCCCTCCTCTCTCCGCCCCCTTCTGCAGAAGCCTTGGAGCTGGGGGGCTGTGTGGGGACAGACACCACAGCCTTGGAGAGACAAGTCACATCCTCAGATTCCCTCAACCTGTGCAAGCACCGCGTTGCCATGGTGATGCTGCAGCCCTGAGATGCAATGACTGCAGACAGCATGGGTGGTTCTAGGGCTCAGTACCGAGGTGGACGCTGTCTGGCCTGTGAGGCCAGGTGATTGGGTGGGCCGGGTGCGGGAGAAGGAGCCCTCCTTTAGGTTTGGCTGGTAATTGCTGCTAAATGAAGGGCTGTCATTGAACCCAACATGTGCGAGGTAAGGGCCCCAGCTCTGTACCTTGTAATTACTGCACCAGACAGCAGCGCTTTCTCCATGTGCTGGGAGGCGGGCAGTGGGGGAGCAGACAGGAAGCTCTCATCCACCTGAGCCAGCAGGGCTCTGGCAGGCTCCCCCCACTGCCCAAGCGGCCTGCATCCCAAGCAGCCTCTCAGACGGAGGAGGCCCTGGCCCCCCTCCTTGGCTGGCTCTCCCCACGTCATCCAGCTGGAGCACGAGCCTCCTTTAATCTTGGCCTCTGAGCTTGTGGAATCCAAGGGGGGGCAGAGGTGCAGGAGCCAGATAACGGGCCGCTTCCGAGCGCCCTTGGTGCTCCACCTCCGCCTGCTGAGTCTGTGCTGGGAATCTGAATTAGAGACAGATCTCGGTCTGACTCCTCCTGAGCACGGAAGCTCTGAGGGCCTCGGGCTAGTCACCGCCCCCTCCTGGCTCTAGCCTCCTGCTGCAGAAGTGGAAGTTGGACTCGAGAATTCTTGAGGGTTCTCTGGCTGGCAAACTTCAGCCGGCAAGCTGGATCCTACTTTTGTAAATGAGGTTTCACTGGGACAGCCACACCCTGGGTCTGTGTCGTCTATGGCTGCTTTTGTGCTACAATAGCAGAGCAGCTCCAACAGATGCCATATGCTATGCTCCCCAAACCCCAAACACTTACTAACTGGCCCTTTACAGGAAGTTTGCAGACCCATTTTTAAAGTATTAAAGTTCTCCTGCGCTTAACTGAGCGAGCTTTAGTGACTCCAACCTGTGGAAACAATTTTAGAACAAGTCCCATCCTTGTCCCCACCCATGGACACCCACTGTCCTCTTCCAAGCACCCCTTTTCTGCCTGTGTCTGGAGAGCCGTGGCAGGGCGGCTGGGCTCTGGGAGCCAGTGTGGTGCAATGGCGCCACCTGCTGTGAGTGCCTAGGAGCACTGCGCCTGGAAAGCTGTCTCCAATGGCTGGTGGGGTCTCCCAAGGCCCGGGAACCAGCTTACAGCAGACTCAGTCCACAGCACATCAGAATCGGGGTCTTGCCCCCTCCCTTCCTCATTTGAGGCAGGCCTGTAGTCTAGAGAAGAGGTGGGACTTGGCCAAGGAGGAGTGGAAGGCCCAGGCCCCGGGGCCCACAAACCCTTCCAGGAGGCAGTGTGGACGTCACATGTGGCACGTGCATGCAGAGGTACACAGGCCTGGATGTGAATCCCAGCCCAGCCACTTAGGCAGCTCTTTATCTTTTCCAGGCTTTAGTCTCTTAGTTGTTAAAAGGATTAAAAGAAACGCTTATATAGCATTTATTCTGTTACTAATAATGACTCAATCTTCAAAAGGACTCTCAGATAGGTATTATTATCCCCAGTTCACAGATTAAAAAACTACGGCACAGACACGTTAGGTCATTTGCTTAGGGTCACACAGCTAGTGGCAGCCAGGATTCAAACTAGGCTGTGAAAACATGTAAAGTCTCCAGAATGCAGTGCTCAGTAAATATTCATTTATTTCCCGCCAGCAGGTGCAGTGGGGCCCCATGCGGAGGGCACTGGTGTTCCAACATAAGCAAGAAACGAAGGAGGCCTGGCCTAAGACCAGTCATTTGAAGAAGGCCCCAGGCAGGGAAAGGAAAGGAGAGGCCAGGCCCACACTGTCCCTCCCTGCCCCATCTCCAGCAACACGAGGTGGCCAGTGGACCGTGAACCATTTATTTCCAAACTATAAAGAAACCTGCTCTCTGAGAAAAGATGCCACCCAGGTGATGAGGCTCCAGCCCCTCGAGATCCAAAACCCAGTCCAAACCCAGTCCCCTTAGAAAGCTGCGGTGCCTTGGAGATGAGTCTTGGCTGTCAGAGCCTGGGAAGTGGTTGGGAAGAACCAGCCCACTCCCCTCTCCTGCAGTGACTCCAACTCCAGCGCAGCTTGGGCCCAGCTCTGGCCAGGTCCCAGGCTGGCCTGGTGCTCGCCCCTTGTGTGACCAAGCTCTGAAGGGAGGGACAAGAGTCAGGAGTCCCTGGCTTGGCCCCACCACCTTTGACTCTCGTCCACAGCTCCCAGCTACCATGAAGAGCCCCGGGGGCTTGAGCACAGTGAGTGCTGGCAGCAGGCTGGAGAGCGGCCTGCTTCTAAGCCATTTGCCCTGGCCGGTCACTGCTGCCCCTGGGCCACAAAGTACTCCTCCTCCTCATTGTCACCTTCCTCCCGCTGGCTGCTCCGGAGCAGCAGCTCCAGGTCGGGGCTGGAGCCCAGCCCCTTCAAGGCCTTGGGGCCACCATCACCTTGGGATAGAGAGAGATCACAGTTACAGGCCCAGTTGTTGTTTTCTTGGTTTGCTCTGATTTGCATGTGTGCTGAGTCACCCAGGCCCCACCCACCCATTCTGGAGATGACCCCGGTATCTTCCTAGAGAAGAGACGGCAGCAGAGCCACCGCGCACACTTCCTGCATCAGAATCACTAAGAGTCACAGGGAGAAGAACAGAAACCAGAGGCTTCTGGAAGGGGCTCCGGGTTACCTCTGGAATGCAAGGCTTTGAGGGCAACATGGAGGGATATTCCCGAGAGGCAGAGGGCAAAGCCTAGCCAGTTCAGGAGGCTGATCTGATCGCCCAGCAGATGAGCTGCCAACAGCAAAGTGCAGACTTCCTGGGGGCAGAGAAGCAGGAGGGAGTGTGATCAACAGGAGGATTTGGCCACTTGGCCAGGAGGGTGGAAGGTGGGGGTACTGGGTACACTCAGGTGGGTAGATCAAGATCTGTCTGAAATCCTGGGCCCAAGCAGGCAGAGAGGTCAGGGGACCCTGCCGGCTTGCGGCGCTGTCTCACCAGCCTCCCTCTGTGAGATGCAACAAAGGAGGTGCTTGTCACGGAATTCTGTCAGGAATAAAAGAGGCAAACCGGATCCCACGCTGGGGACCAGGGTGTCCAGATCGTGCTGTATCCACAAGGATAAAGGAGGCAGTTACAGAAGGGAGCCCTGAGCCTCTGCGTGAGAATGCTGCATTACCCTGGGCTGAAGACACACACTGGTCCCGGGGCTCTCTATAAACAGAGACTGCAAAAGGGACTGGCGAGGCCGTTCATCCAAGAACCACAGCCATGCCTCGGCATGCGGCTGGCTCCCAGAAGACACTCAGAGAGGCCCGCATTTCTGGGTTTAGGCAACACTGTTTCGGTATTGGTGTGTGCCTGACCAAAGAGAAAAGTAAATGTGTGGGAGGGAGAGGCAGAAGTGAGAAGAGGTGTGAGAGGGAAGGACAGGCCTGCGAGGCAGAGGTACAGCGAGGTTGGCCACAGGGGTGCTTGCTGAGGGTCTCACTAGCCCTGGCTGTGGCCCTGGAGGACACCACCAGTCAATCATGGAACTCTTTCCTGATGAGTCTGGATAGGAGCTGTTCAACCTGTGGCTCCAGGCCACTGCCCAATGCCAGAGTTGGCAGTCAAGGTAAAATGTGAATGCGCCCCAGGCCTAGGGGAGTCAGAGCTGGCTCTCCATCTGTGTCCCTGTCTGTGGGGTGCAGGTGATCACACCCTCTCAAACGGCTGTGGTCAAGGCGGAAGGAGGGGCCAGCACAGCAGTCAGCAAAGTGCCTGGCACCTAATGGGGCACTTCCGTCTCTTCTCTGCAGGGCCCTGAGGTGCAGGAGCTGCTAGTGAGAAATCCCTGGGGGCTCCCCCTCTAAGACAGGAATGGCATCACCCCCGAGTCTGTACCTTAAAAATGCCAGCAATGGAGAGAGTGAGGCTGGAGGTTCTGGAGACCAGGAGGAACTCAGAGAAGCCCAAACCAAAGGCGAGAATCCCGCCAAGGAAGAGGCTCCCAAGTACCCGCAGGAGCAGCCCTGTGTCCTGGAAACGGAAGATTTTCTCAGATGTGGACAAATGGAGACCTGAAATCAATGGGGAGAGAGAGTGGGAGGCTGGGCCCTGGGCTGCCTCGGCCAGCCCAATACCAACCACATGAGATCTTCCATTGTCATAGTGAGTCCTTACTGAGACCTGCTAACTGTCTGCAGCCCAGAGAAAAAGCATGGGAGGTATAAAGTGATCCCACACAGATGGCCTGAGACCTGGAGAAACCAGGGAAGCAGTGATGGCTGCCAGAGAGCCTGGGGGCAATAGAAGCCAGATCCTGGCAGGATGATGGGTTCCTAGTGGGATGACGAGGATCCTAGCGGGATGATGGGGATATTAGCGGGATGATGGGGATCCTAGCGGGATGATGGGATCCTAGCGGGATGATGGGATCCTAGCGGGACGACAGGATCCCAGCGGGATGATGGGGATCCCAGCGGGATGATGTGGATCCTAGCGGGATGATAGGATCCCAGCGGGATGATGGGATCTAGCGGGATGATGGAGATCCTAGCGGGATGATAGGATCCCAGCGGGATGATGGGGATCCTAGCGGGATGATAGGATCCCAGCGGGATGATGGGGATCCTAGCGGGATGATAGGATCCCAGCGGGATGATGGGATCTAGCGGGATGATGGAGATCCTAGCAGGATGATGGGATCCAAGTGGGATGATGGGGATCCTAACAGAATGACGGGGAGGGCTCGTCTGAGCCTCTGGGGTAAAGTAGAGGGGGTAGCACTGCATGGAAAGACGGACGGAAGTGCCCTCAGCCTTTGGACGGTATTCACTTACTGGTCTGGGGGAAGGGGCGCAAGGCTGCTGACTTCATGGGGTCTTTGGAGCTGTGGTAACCAATGGGCTAAAGAAGGGAGGGCAGCCACCAAGTGAGGAAGGACCAACAGTGCCCCAGCCCACTCACGGAGCTCCTTGGTCTACAATTCAGCCAGGTTACCTACAAACAGGGTCAAAATTCTATCCCTACAAACATTCATTTTAATCTAGGTCTTGCTAGTACAAAGCTGAGGAACCTGGGCTGAGATGTGTCCCCTTTCTGGACCTCAGTTTCTCTACTGATAAAATAAGAGGCCTGGGACCAGACTGGTATTTCTCCAACCTGCGGTGCCACTTGATGAACATTTCCCAAAAAGAAAATGCAAACACATATAGCCATGGCCCCTTGCTCCAGAAACACAGGCATGCACACCCCCTACCCCAAATTTGGCTTAGACTTTCGGAGTCGTCATGGTCCTTCCAACACTGTCCATCTGGGAGAATGACTCCCGGCGTCCCTCCCACAGGAAAGTCCTTGTGGTGTATTAGCACAGGGTGAAGGGGGGCCCAGAACTGGGCACAGGAGACACCTGTGGTAGCTGGAAGTTGGTCGAGTATTTTGAGATTTTTGGAGGGAAGCACCAAAGAAATGCTGAGTGACAGTCCCCCCCAGGCACAACAGCCTCACATTGTAGGACATCTTGTTTGGTGCTGGGCTCAGCAGTACTGCAAAGGCGTCGGCAAATTGAAGGGAATTCGGGGAAAAGCAACATAAGTAATGAAGGCGCTTGGGGGATTAATTTACCAGAAAAGATTAAAGGAGCTAAATCCATGCAGCTTTGCTAAGTGACGACTACCAGGGGCTTTCAGATGAGGTTTTGCAGAGATGGGGCATGGTGTAAACACCCGGGAGGGGAGACTGTGGCGTTTGATACGAGGGGGCATAATGAAGGAATGGGGAGAGATTTTAAAGAGGGAAAAAAATGAGGCCCTGAATAGAAGTTTCCTGGACAACGGGGCTTCAAAATAATTTTCTTAGGGAGGTTCAAGATGCTTCACCGCTTGAAACTTAAATGGATGTGGGACAGAATTTTCTGTAATGACCCTGAAGGTATTACAGAGGGGACTCTGGGAGGAAGGATAAACAGAAAGGGGACAAAGGCTAATCCCAAAACATCAAAGAAAGGAATGTGGCGCCACACCTCCCAGCCTACACAACTCTCCAGGGCTCTCCTCTTTCTTGGACGACAGTGGAGGAACAACTGACCATGTCCCCAGGCTCCTGTGTGCTGGCTCCTGGCCTTCAGCCCCCAGCTCTGGAAGCCCACCCTCTGCCGATCCCGCACGGTCCACACTCCCTGAACACACATCCCAATGTTATATGCCTGGACATGGCTGAACCTCCTATTCCCACTTCCCAGGTGCCTTGCTCCCTGCAGCCTGCCACAATCCCACTCACCCTCCAAAACCACGGCCAGGAAAGCCTTTCTGACTTGCTTGATTACTCCAGCATCTTGGAACAATCCCTGATTCCCCACTCCTTAGAGGCAGGATAGGGTGGTTAAGAGGAGGGCTGGAACACTTGGAGCCAGGCTGCTGGCTTCAAATTCTGGCTCATTTATGAGCTATGGGACCTTGGGCAAGTTATCTTTACTTCTCTGTGCCTCACTTTGTTCTACCTGCAAAATGGGGAATAATAGTACTGCCACACAGGGTTTTTGGAAGGATGAAATAAGTTCTCATGTTTAAAAAGATCAGAACAGCCCTGGTGCACTTTCAGGGCTCTGTACACACTTACTGTTGTTACTGTTCCCTGGATTTTATGTGCTTTCTCTGTAGCATTTATCATGCTGGACTCCAGCCATTTTGTTTACGTCTGACCGTCCCCCAAACCATGCGCTTCCGGGGAGGGACTGCATCTTTGATCTCAATAATCTCTGCAGCTCCCACTGTGCTGGGCTCAGGGCAGGGATCTGTGGTCTGCTGCACTGAGGTGCCCTCGAGAGGGAAGGCCCAACGTACCTTCAAATACAGCAAAGAGAGGGAAGAGCCCCAGGAACATGAGTGGCTGCAGGTGGAACATGGTGTCGATGGGATTCTGGAGGCCTGCAGGGTGGGGGACGGTTACCATCAGGTCTGGCCTGGCCCTGCCCTGCCTCCGCCCTGCCTGTGCCGCGGTTCCTCTCTCTGGAGGGTGAGTGGCATGTGCTCACCAAGTTCAGCCTTCTGCAGGAGCATCTGGGTGAGGGTCCAGCGAATGCCACCGATGAATGAGGCCCCCAGCACCAAGGCAAAGCCCTCCACGTTGAACTGTGTGGACTTGTAGGTGAACATGAAGAGACCCCCGGCGATGAGGAGGACCACCAGGACCAGTGCCGCGCGCTGGTAGGATGGGGAGCAGTGGCAGCTAACTCGGGGGTCTTGAGGGTCAACGGTTCGTCACATTTGGAGCCTGGGGTCAGCAGCCATCTTGGCTGCCCCTGGGGCAGGAAATCCTCCCACCCTCCAGCTCTACCCCAGGGGGTCCTGGACAGTCCTTGCCCACTAATGTCAGCATGCAGGGCTGACGGTCAGCTGGTATGCCAACAGCCCTGCCTGCTCTGCCACACTGATGGCTGTCCTAGGCCCCCAAGAGGTCCCACCTCCCCCTCTGGGCCTAACACACACGGCTATTGCCTCCCACAGCAGGGAGCTTCCTAGACCAGGCTCTGCTGGGACCCGCATCCTGCAGTGCTTTCACCTTTGGTCATTACCCTGCCACACTGGTTTCTAAATACTCCGAATATTGCCCATGTCTAGGTCCCTTCTCAGAAAGGGATCTACTGCCACCTGGACTGGGCTTATCTCTTCTGTCACACAGCGGGACAAGTCACTGCTCGGACTCCTGCTTTATTCTTAGCATCTGTGGGGGCAGGAGGGACAAAAGAGACACTGGGCCCTCACCAGCTCCTCCAGCTTGAAGATCAGAGAGAAGATCAAGATGAAGAGGACAGCTGAGGATTTGGTCATTGTGTACCTGGAAGCAAAATTACCCACAATGCACTGATGGAGCCCAGGGCTCAGACCCATCACCAAGAAAGGAGCAGGAGCACAAATCACTGGGCAAAATGACCAAACAGAGCTGGGCTAAGTCATCTGAGCTGATAAGCGACCTTTAACCAGAAGGAATCTCTGACTAAGGGGCCTCTGGTTATCACCAGGGAAAAGAGGTTGCAGGTCTGACGCTGAGCTCCCTGAGTCCTGTTCTTTACCTGACCCTCAGCGGAGCAGGAGCGGGAAGGAAGGATGAGAAGTGGGAGGACGAGAAGTGGGAGGACGAGGAGTGGGAGGACGAGGAGTGGGAGGACGAGGAGTGGGAGGACGAGAAGTGGGAGGACGAGGAGTGGGAGGACGAGAAGTGGGAGGACGAGAAGTGGGAGGACGAGAAGTGGGAGGACGAGGAGTGGGAGGACGAGGAGTGGGAGGACGAGGAGTGGGAGGACGAGAAGTGGGAGGACGAGGAGTGGGAGGACGAAGAGTGGGAGGATGAGTGGGAGGACGAGGAGTGGGAGGATGAGAGGTGGGAGGATGAGAAGTGGGAGGATGAGGAGTGGGAGGATGAGGAGTGGGAGGATGAGGAGGCAGGAACTGTGCTCTCTGAAGCGAAACATCAGAGGGAAGAAGAAACTCTTGTGCAGTCCCCAAGCCACACAGGGCTCTGCTGCGACTACGTGTATCACCCGCCAGTGGCTGCCTGTCTATGGCCCTGCGGCCTGCCCTCCCCTACTCTGATGATGGGGTTCTGGGTGAGCTCCCTGGCTTCCCCATGCTGCCTGGCAGGTGGGCACAGCATCCCCTCTGCGCTGGGCTTACAGAAGAGGCTGGTGAATTCCCGGAGAGCTGCTGGGTGCCAGAGAGAGGCGGAGAGAGCAAGGGCTGGTCCCAGAGAGTAATGGAGTGGCTGGCCTGGCAGCCGGGTGTGCAGACAGCCCACTGGACAGACAGAGAGCTTGAGCCTGAAGGGAGGCAGCAGAGCATGGCCGGTACTCACAGAGAGACGGTGACATAGAGGAAGCTCCAGTTGGACAAGCCCACGTCAAGCGCCGTGGCCAGAGCTGTGGAGACAAAGGCACCCACAGGACGGTGTGGGAGGTCCACACTCTGCTGGGGTGGGCTGGCACCCTGAGGCACCTGAGTGTCCCCCACTTCTGAACCATCCCGGGGCCTCCTCTGGGGCCCTCAGGCCTTTTTTTCCACCAGCAACTAAAGGGCTAATACCCAGCCCCAAAGCGGTGGGGGGCTGCTCTAGCACTAGGGCTGGGCCCATTCCAACTGACTGGGCCAGCGTGGTTTGTACAAACACTCCGGCTGGCCCGAGCAGAGGTATTAACCCGATCTGGTTGATCCCTTACTGGAAACCCTTTTTTCCTCAGGATGGAACACCAACTCCTCCAAGGGGAACCCGGCCTCCAGGATGTGAGCCCCACCCACCCTCTCAGTTCTCATTTCTCCCACTTCCTCTGACCAGCACCGGGTTCTCAGCATCCTGAAACACTTTGAGTTCCCTTCCAGACTCCACAGCTGGCACTAAATCTCCCTCTGGCCACAAGGGCCCCTCCTCCCAGGGCCAATCAGTCCCATGCATCCTTCAGCCCTCGGCCTACTCAGCACCTGGCCTAGGAAATCTTCCTCCACCAGCCATGGGCCCCGGCCTTGGGTCGGTCCCCCTCCCTGGGCTCCGTAGTGCCCTCCATGTCCATGTCACAGCCCTGCGAGGGCAGGGACCCTAACTGCTCACCACTCATCTCCAGGCCCGAGGCCACACTCCAGGCTCGGTGTCTGCTGCCAGGTGAGGGAGCTGTGGGGCCGTGGGTGCAGCAGGGGTTTTGTGGGTGTGTGGTGGGGCAGTGGGAAGGCACGCAGTGTGCAAGAGGCAGCAGCGTGGGTGGAGGGAGGCCAGGTCAAGAGGGCAGAGGAGGAACAGTGCAGGAAGAGGGGACGGACTCGGCTTCCAGACACGCGGGTGTCTCTCTTGTTCTCATCCTATGGTTCCCCAGCCCCTCTTCCTGCCCCGCCCTCACCGAGGTACCCCACCTACCTGTGGGAGCCACTCTTCTGAGGTAGTCGGCCCAGCTCAGCACCACACGGGCCCTGTGGCTGGAGCACTGAACCAGCGCCCTGGACAGGGCGGAGAAGAGGAAGATCACGGCCAGGTGCAGCATCGTCATGAAGAGGGGGAAATGGAAGCTCTGTACGGAGCCCAAAGCAGACACCCCGGCTCGGTTTAGACAGCCTGCCCCCCAACAGCTCCCTCTTCCTCTTCGCCCCTCTGCGGGAGTGGGGTTCATTTGGTGGTTCATGAGGACCTTGCTATGTGTGAAGGGCCCTTAGGTACAGTATCATCGCTTGGAATGACAGACTCCTAGGTCACAAAGACAAGTGGCAGCCAAGGGGCTCGATTCTAGCCTGGTGCTGTCTCCACCAGTTCAACACACCTGTGAGCTACCTGCCCAGCCCTCCTCACAGCCCATTCTCAGGTGAGAGCCACTGCGGCCCACGACATTGTATCACTTATTAAAATATTGAAATACTTCTCTACTGGGGTAAACAGTTGCTGCTTGAGCCCGTTTCCCCAGCTCATCCCTTCACACCTCCCACTCTCCTTGATTTCCCTGGATCCAAACATTGAAGGGGAACCCTGGCATGGCGGGCTTGGAGGGCCCTGTTCCAGCCCAGCTGTAACTGGCTTCCAGTTAGACTGGCTGAAGCTTGTGCCTTCCTGTTAAACGTGAAGGGCACTATAGCCACGGCTCCAGCCACCTTCATCCCAGCGCCCTGCCCCAGCAAGGCCTCCCGGTACCTTTGTCAGCCATTTGTTGTAGAAGGTGATGCCGATGGAGAAGCAGTAGTAGAGAAGCACCAGCCCCAGCGTCAATACCGCCTTCCACACAAAGGCCACATCGAGGGCCCACCTCCCCATTCGTGGCAGCTGCAGCACCCGAGCTCCTGAGTCAGCGGGGGCAGGCACCTTTCTTGAAGACAATGTGCGGGAAGAGCCGGTGCAGCTGGACCACACCTTTCACCAAGAACGTCTCCTGGCTGGAGGAGCTTTCTGCAGCTCCATGATTTGGAACCATCAGCGGAGCCCCAGGCAGAGTCCTCACCTAAGGGGCTGGTGGCTGGTGCTGGCCCTTCCCATGGTTAACTGGATGCAACGCTCACAGGTCCCGAGGTCTGCTGCTGGGGAAAAAGGGCAGCTTTGGAGCCTTGGGCAGAGACTGCGCTTCTCGTAGCCATGGGTGCCTCTGAAGGCTGCGTGACTCAGGGCTCCGGAGGGGCTGCCCACAATGGCACAAGGCACTCCCAGAGACCCATGTCATGTCTGCTCTCTTGTCACCTCAAGTAAATCTCCATGAACTGCCACCAAAGTGACCTTTTAAAACACAAATCTGATCATGCCGGGCCACTGCTTAAAACCCTTCAGCAGTTTCCAGTGCTTTTCTCATGAAGACCAGGACCCTTCTTTGGGCTCCCATGGCCTGATTTGGCCCTGCTGGTCTTCCCAGTCTCAGCCACAGGCTCTCCAGGACCTGGCCCCACTGGGTGCCTTTCAGCTTCTCAAACACACCAGCTTTCTTCCCGTTGTCCAAAGGAACTGAACGAACACTGCACCCACCCTTCAGTCCTTCATCCATCCTACCTATCTTCAGCTCAGAGGTCACTTCTTCAGGGACCCTCCCCCCATCCCCTTCATCAGTCCCCTGAGATACAGGTGGCTTTCACGGCTCTCCTCCTCCTCCTTCATAGCACTTGTACAGGGTGTGATTTGAGTAATGTCTGTGTCCACTGAGAGACTACGAGAGGCACAAAGATAGGGAACAGTGTGTCCACACTGGCCTTATGCACACCTGGCATACTTTAAGTTCTCCGTTTGGTTTGATGACTGACAGACAGCAGGCATGCGATTTTCAGGGGACTGGTCTGGTCTTTAGGGGTTAAAAGTGGAGAAGGAAACCACTCTAACAGTTGGAACGCTCTAAGACCAGGCTCTAACCACTACTGCCTGGAAGCGGTGCCTGCCTTACAGTCTTGCCAAATGAAACCACTCCCAGCCTCCCTGGCAATCCAGCCAACCCGGATGACTGCCCGGAGCATGCCAGGTAGACCTGTCTGTGCCTGGAGGAGCCTCAGGTCCAGCGTTATGTGATACCTGCTGCTTCATCTGTGTGCCCCCAACCACAGCTCCTCCTCTGAGACATTCCCATCCTATTGAAACGCCACCTTCTTCTTGAAGCCTTCCTAGGCTTCAAGATCAGAAACACTCTCCATCTCCCACCCCACCATTTCCGAAGGGAGCCATTACATTCTGTTCTGCACTCTGGAACCCATGTTACTATTTCCCCTCTCCGGGGCAAACAGGGAGCTGGCTGTGTCCAAATGAATCTCCAGGGCTACAGTTGTCTTCAGAGTAGCTTTGGAAACCTGTGGTGGTATTTTGGGGATATGCTCCTGGCATTCAGTGAGCAGGGATAAAGAAGGGGCAGTCCACATAGCCAATTACTGCTCTGCATCCCGCATGACTTTCACATTCATATAGGTGAAAGATTAGCTTATAATCAGCTGAACCTAGAAAGTAACTGTTTACATGTAAACACAGGGCAGTGTTTCCATGGTTCTGCTGTGAACTAACATTTCCAAGAATACGATGCCTATGTACAATGAAGGGAGACTGAAAATGGTCAAAATTGGTCTCAAAATGGCACCAAAGTTCCCATTCTGGAAAAACCACATCATCTATGGCAATGGCACTAGTGGTTTTTGAGTTGCGACACAACACGACTGTGTCAGTCTGCGCCTGTGGGAATCACACTCCTAGAGCGTCCACACAGAAGGGACAGTCTTCACTGCGACTTCCAGCATTGTTGTGCCCAGGAACTTACATACTGAAACTTACTTTGTTTTACTATTAATTACTTTCCTTTTTCATAGGCCTGTGTTGATTTATTTTTATTTTATTTTACTATTTTTTTTCTTTGAGACGAAGTTTTGCTCTTGAAGCCCAGGCTGGAGTGCAATGGTGCAATCTCGGCTCACTGCAATCTCCGCCTCCCAGGTTCAAGACATTCTCCTGCCTCAGGCTCCCAAGCAGCTAGGATTACAGGCATGCGCCACCACGCCCAGCTAATTTTTTATATTTTTAGTACAGACGGGGTTTCTCCATGTTGGTCAGGCTGGTCTCGAACTCCCAACCTCAGGAGATCCGCCCACCTTGGCCTCCCAAAGTGCTGGGATTACAGGCGTGAGCCACCATGCCCGGTCGCATTGTTGATTTTTCAAAAATTATGTGTAGGCTGTTTTTATTAATCATATGTTTCATTTTAGGGTAATAAAAGGGACTGTTACAAAATATTTGTAATAAAAAAGAGGTTCAATGCTGACTTTCCTTCACAGACCTGGCCCAGGTCCCTTGCCTCCAAGAAGCCCCTATGGCTACCCCGCCTACAAGAAGCACGTCTCAAAGTTAACTCATTTTCTTATTGGGATTCAGAAGGTCACCTGTGCACAGACACAAAGCCAAATCTCAGCTAGAAGGGTCCTTGGAGATCATCTAGGCACTTAATGGGCATTTATTAAGCGCTCCTGTAGGCCTACCACTGGAGACACAGACATGAAACTGAAGGTCCCCACCCTTATTTTATAAGGGAAACAAGATTTAAAGGAGTAAATCCTCTTTTTGAAATCTCATTTGCTCAGGAAACAAAGTCCATATTCTGCCCCACTTTCCACAGAGAGCAGCTTAGCTGGAGGCAGCAGTCACATCAAGGTAAGGCTGGCTGGTGCATCACTGTCGCACCTGCTTCCCTCAATCTTTCTAACTGTAACTTGGGCAGCATGGTTTAGCGCTTAAGAGTGTGGGCTTTGGAGTTAGAGACTGATAATCAAATCCTGGTGTCCCTGTGACCCTAAGTTACTTGACCACTGGACTCAGTTTTTCCAACTGTAAAGTGGCATCAGGTACAGCATTAAATGCTGGCTCATGATAGAGGCTTACTCCCCTCCTGGTCCCCTTAAGAGTGAAACTTCCCCAGAAGGCCTCGCACTGCCAGCCCCACTCATGCACTCCCTGCCCTCACTTCAGCCCATCTCTACTGCTCCACTGAGTCACCACACCCTCCTCTCTGCTGCCCCTTCAAAGGCGTAGTCTCTATTCTTTTTTTTTTTTGAGATGGAGTTTCATTCTTTGTTGCCCAGGCTGGAGTGCAATGGCACGATCTCAGCTCACCACAACCTCCACCTTCCAGGTTCAAGTGATTCACCTGCCTCAGTCTCCTGAGTAGCTGGGATTACAGGCATGTGCCACCACGCCTGGCTAATTTTGTATTTTTAGTTGGAGACGGGGTTTCTCCATGTTGGTCAGGCTGGTCTTGAACTCCCGACCTCAGGTGATCCACTCACCTTGGCCTCCCAAAGTGCTGCAATTACAAGCGTGAGCCACCTCGCCCACCGGCTTAGTCTCTATTCTTATCTTACACAATGGATCACTTCCTTCTCCTAGAAAAAATCTTCTCTTAGGTGCTACGATACCACACTCTCCTGGTTTTTCTTCTGCTTTTCTGGACTCTTTCTTGGCCTTTTTTGCTGGCACCTTCTTGTCAACTCAATCTATAAAAATTGGGTGCCTAAAGCTTGGAACCTGGCTTCTCTTCTCTCTCAAATCTTACCCTATATAATCTTATCCTACCCAATCCACTTGCCAATGATTTCTAAATTCTTTACATCAGCCCTGACCTTTTCTGCATCAGACTAGTATTATCTAACTGCCTATTTGGTAGCTGCACTCCAAATATCTAAAACTTAAGATGCCCTAAAAAGATTTCATAATTATTTCTCACGCTCCCAATCTATCCCAGAGTCATTTAGTAAATGCCAGCATAATACACTCGGTTACTTAAGCCAAAACCAAAAATCTATGATGAAATCATCTTTGGCCACTTATTTCCGTCATTTCTCAAATCCTGCCCTGTCAGTTCCACCTTCAATACACTTCTTGACCCCTCTACTTCTCTTCCTCTCCATTCCCACTACCACAGTCTGCTGACTGCCACTCGTCTAGCTGGTCTCCCTGTTTCCACTTTCGCCTCTAAGGCCTGGAAACTATAAAGCAGCCAGAGAGATGGCCTAAGCACACAGAATAGACCATGCCCTAAGGCTAAGCCCAGCTCCTCAGCCTGGTCCACAAGGAAGGCCTCTGCAACCTCATTCTTCTGCCACTGGCCCCAGCACCCGCCACAGCGGCCCCCTGCCACGTGTCAAACACATCAAGCCTGCGTATTTCTTTACTTGCTGTTCTTTATGTCTTCAGTACACTTCCGCAGACCTCCGCTGGGCTGAATACTTTCCCCAATGCCCCACCCCTCCCAATCCTCGTGGCACTTCCCACCTCTGACGTTTCCTTGTTTGCTCACGTGTTTACTGCCCGCCCCAATCCCACCGCGGGAAGCAGCCTCTCAGAAGGCAGAGCCGTGTCCGATTCCGGCCTGGGTCCCGCACCCCAGCACGTCGCACGTGCTCAAGAAATACCAGATGAGCCGGCGTCGGGCAGAAGCACGGCAGGAGAGCGCTTGGAGACCCCTGCCCCCTCCACAGACGGCGAAACTAAGGCCCGGGGAGGGGCAGGGGCGTGGCGTGCCCCATGCCAACCCGCGCTGAACCCGGGCGGGGCGCCCGCTTCCCGTCTCCAGCCCCGGCCCCCCAGCCCCTGGGAGTGCGCCGGGAGGCCTGCCGCGCACACACTCACCTCGGCCTGGTGAGCTCCCGGCCGGGATCTTCCCACCGGAAGTGCGAGGCCGGATGCCACCGCCGAACCGCGGCAGGGGCGGTAACTTCCGCCGGAAGCTACCCAGGGGCTGGGCGGAGCCGGGGCGAAAAGGCAGCACGGGGGCGGGGCGGGGCAGCACAGGGGCGGGGCGTCTGCTGTGGTCCGGTTCTGAGGTGGTCGGGTCCTTCTGGGGTACAGCGCAGTTTTGTCCTCCGCGGAGTCTCTCAGGCTCAGAGCACAGCAGTGTGATTGCGTCTCTCCTGCGCTCAATCAGGGGCTTGCTTTGGAACCCTGGTACCTGCTAGTGTTCTGCATACAGTGGGCATCCAAAAAATGGTCACTTGTTTACTTTTACTGAACAAATTGTTTTTCTTATGTCCAGTCTAGTGCTAGGCAACCATGGAATGAACCACGAAGATAAGTATCTCATGGGCTTTTTCTTCTGGGAGCTCAGGCCGGCTGGGGCCGTTACAACTTAAAACTTAGGCGATCCAGAAGTAATACGAAACATTTGTGAAATATTTTCTGTATGAAACTTTCTAAGAATTATCTCAACTTCAATAGGTTGAGTAGGGGGAGAGCATCCCAGAAAGAGGAAATGGCAGAATCCTAAAAGAGGGTGAGAAGCCTCCAGCCGTGCCTGGGGCTCAGGTTGTTTATAACTGTGGTGGTTAAAGTAGTCAAGAGGCAGGTTGCAGTGGCCCCAAAATGCCAGCCTAGGGCGTTCATATTTTCTTCATCTTGCGGGATGGATTAAAAGGGCAGCATTTACAGTCAAGGAGAACATTGGGCCAGGGCAAGCTAGGGTTGCACATTCAGACCCAGTTTTGTGCCTTTTGCCCTCCTCTAGCCGCCTCCTGGGCTCTCCGGCAGTAAGACCAGCTGCAAACATGCCTCCTTACAAGTGACTCAGCTGGGATCCCTGGCCTCTCTGAACAGAAGGCTCAAGGCCAGAGTGTAAGTGTTTTGTGCAAACTGCTGCTGTCACCGCCGCCAGCTGGCATCATGCAGGCATAGTTCATTCAGTGCTTACCAAGCACCTACAATGGTACCCATCACTGCCCAAGGTCTTGGCTTTATTCAGTCCTCAAGGCTTGTATTGCATACACTTTCTATGCCTTTTGAAATAGCTTGTCCTCACACCCTTCTCTCTTAGGGGCAAGAGAAAGTATCCATTTTCATCACCACCCTCATTCAAGTCTCCCAGCTACCAAGGCCAAGGTTTGCAGCAACAGCCTAAAACACCAGCTGGAAGGCTGGGCACTAAGCACAGGCAACACACAGGGTAAAGAGCATGTCTTCTTTGTAAGGCACAAGTACTCGAGCTGTTCCCTGGCTGTGTCCCTGGCAGGGAGAAGAGGGAGGATGTGTTCATGGGGGTGTACAGTATGCCTTACCCTGCTGTACCCGGCAGGGTTGAGCAGAAAACGCTTTGTCCCAGTGCAGCAATCTGTGAACACTGTTAACCAGCAGGTGTGTGTCTGTGTGTGTGTGTGTGTGTGTGTGTGTGTGTATGTGTGGGAGGAGCGAATGATAAGAAGGAAGGGACTCTTGGAAGGTGACTAAGGGCTCCAGCTGGAGCTCTCCAGAGTCTCCCGGACACACTGAGATCAAATCTTGTCAAGGTGAAATCTTCACCATTGGGCAGGGGCAAGTACAAACAGCTGTTAACAGGAACCACAGTTTGTACATGAAAGAGTATTTATTGAAAACATGGTTACTGACAGGAAGCTCCTGGCTGCTCTCTGGTTACAATCTTGGCTCACAACTGGAAGCATTACATACTTTTTACTTCCCCTCAATTTTATTTTTCCCCAAGGTTCCATCCTAAGATAGGTAGATCTTATATAAATATATATACATGTCTGTATAAGTATGGCCTATAGTAATGAAAATATATAGTACACTCTTCATTGGGTAGTACCTACCATGCCAGGCCACCAATACTGAATGCCAATGTGCTAACATATGTCCAGGGAGAGAGGCTGTGTGTGTGGTTTACAAGTGCTTCAGCACCAGGGAAGCCCCACTGGCACAGGTGTGGCCTCAGCTGGCCTCAGCCAGCTCCCTGAAATCATGGCCAATGGCAGAAACCATAGCGCTAAGAAGGAAAGGCAAACTTCCTGGGGTCTGGAAGGCCAAAGGAAAGCAAACTGGAGGGGGCTACAATTCAGGTTAGGTGGGAGATTTCTCTCTGAGGAAGGAAAAGGTATTAATGTGGGGGGAGAGGGGTAGAATCTAGTGACCTAACCACAGTCTAGGCCCAGGCCTCAGCTGGGTTTTCCCTGCAGCGTTCCTGGAGACTTAAGAGGGCAGGACTTGGCCTGGAGGTCTTTGACTTGCCAGGATGAGACTGAGCGCTTGTAGGGAAAAATTTCCATCTGCTCTGATATCTGTATGGGCCATAGAGATCTGGTGGCTCTAAAGACCAGAGATGTTAGAGCCAACCTCAGAAGCAGCAACATCTTGGCACCATATGAAGCTGGAGTGAGCCCTCATCAAAAAAGACAAAAGCAAAGGCCCCAGGCCTGTACTCAGATTTGAGATACAGGCAGTCACTCCAAGGCTATCAACACGCCCAGCATACCTGTCCTCTGCAGGCAGCCTTTCTTGGGCCAGCTCTTGCTTACGTGGGGATTCAGCTGATCAGAGAGCAGGTTCAGGAGGAAAAGGTGAGTGGCTGTTGTTAAATCCATTTCAAGAAGCAATTTCTTGGACTGGAAGGCAAGGGCATCTGCTGTTTGTTCCTCGTGGCCCAATCCCAGGCTTCATGGTGATGGAGTGGGCAGAGCACCCTGCCTTCATGACTCTTAGTAGACAGGGACCAAGAGGAAACTCTGGGTGGTCCGAGGTGGGTTTGAGAAATGGCTGGCATTTACTGGCCACCAAAATCACTACAGATTCTGTACAAGCAAAAGACAAGGCACCAGACTTTAAGCGTTTCTCCTGGGCCCAAAATCCCTTCTCCTGGGTACCGTCGTTTCTGGCTCCAGGCTCAGCCATAGTGATAGACAAAGTCATAGCTGCTGGGCTCCTTGGGGATGGGGGGTGGGGCTTCGGGAATCTGGATGTTCTCCAGGTCCAGGAGCCGCAGCTTCATCTCCATGCTCAGCAGGGTGTCCAGGTCACTCTTGGTCAGCTCGCTGGACATGTCCTTCCCCAGAAGGGCACTGAGGCCATCAATCCAGATGCAGTACTGTGGGGAGCAAGTTGCAAAATGTCACATCGTGACCCCTGGTCAGCAAGAGATCCTGCCAAGGTCTCTATTCTGATGGGGCTCACAACAGTTCCTTTTGGAACTAATCAGTATAGGCAAAACTGATTTGGAATGATAGCAAAGATAAATTGGGAGGTGATCCTTCACTTTCTCAAGATACCTGGTTTTTATAAGGGGTTTTATATTACAACTCCTTAAAATAATATGAAATAGAACCTAAAAATGCAATGAATGAATACAGCAAAATGAGATCTGAGTACTGGGGCATCATCTACCTGAAGTTACCCCAAAATCAGAAGTGAGAGAAGGGAAATATGTATTAGGTGAAAAGAAGCAAGACACAAACAGGAGTCATTGCAGGATCTCAATTTTGTTTCCCCTGCCACCAAAAAAAAAGTGAATTAAAATCAATCAAGTCAATACATATTAAAGAGTAAATACTAAAGAAATGGAACTGGTGGGTCTCATGCTAAGAGGGGGTAACCAGGAAGCCTTCTGATCCCACTGCTCCCTAACTCTTTCTGCTTCCTCTGCTGCCATTTTCCTTTTTCCACATCATTGCTTGCCTGGTTCCCCACTTGCTTGTTCTTCATTTCCTCCCAATAAAATTCCACTAGCAGCAGCTCAGGCCCTGCCCAAGTGTCTCCTCTTTCATAAGCCCTACTTCTAGTTCCCAGTGATGGCTCTCAGAGCTCACCAGGCACTAGGGTCTCAAATGCAATCACTCATTTAATATCTAGTATCTTCCAGTGCTGGAGATGGAACTACAGGGCCCTTGTCAGAAGGACCAGTTCCATCTGGCTTCAAAGTCCACACTGGATCCACTACAACATGTGACCAGAAGCCCCTGGGAGGAAGGATCTGTCAAGTTCTCTTGGGTAGTTGACCACAGAGAAACTGAAAAGGGGAGAATTTTCCTAGTCCCAAGTAAATGAGTCATTCCTAGTTGACCTTGTCTTTGTAATGACAACCTACGGCTGCTGCTGAAGAGTAATGTGGACAGCCCAGCTCACGGATAAACAATCCAGAGTGTGACAGATCCTTGGCATTCTACAGCTTTCATGATACACTGCAGCCACCCACCGCAGGGGACATTCCTGATCTGTTCATTCCTGGCACCAATGAAAGAGTTACAGAAATGGCTCTGTTGTCCAAGGTAGCACCACACTGCTCACCTCATATTTATTAGGTGCAATGAAGTTTAAGGTCTCATCAGGGTCATACAGGATGGAGAAGGCCAATTCCAACACCTCCTGAAGGAGAAACGGTTTAAATTAGAGCGATGGAACAGCCTGGGGTCTGCACATCAAGATCTGGGCCAAAGTCCTAGTGACTCGGCATCATCACCAAACATGCTGATTCAAATGAATGTCATCAATGCTCCTAGGCAGCCACAAGTGTGGCTGGAGATTAGGCCCAGCATAAATCAACCTTAACTTACCCACTCCCTGCCCAAGTCACATCAAAGATGTTGTGATATTTTTAAGATTGGAAAAAAGTCATTTTCAACACTCAGAACCCTGGAAGGTCACAATCCATGACTGTAAGTTATCCTAAAAGTTTTTAATTACCAAGATGACTAACAACTTCTATCATGATGTATTTGGCATAGGAATATCTTAACAATTAAAAAACAAAACAAAACATACACACACATGGTAAACTGGTCACTGTTGCATGATACCAGGGAACTAACTCATTATTTTGAAAGTAAGTACATAAAAGAAGAATCAGCATTTATTCTCATTTTCTATATAAACTGTACCACTGGGAAACCAATAGTAGATAAGGGCAAGTTTCGTAGTTCAGCTCATAAATGAAAAGCAATGACTGCATCAAAATATCATGAGTTTGCAAACCTTAGTTGACTAATGGAATGAGGCACTGAGCTTCAACAGTCTGCTAATATCACAAAAGGAGAGACCACCAGACATTATGTGCCTCTTGATAAAACATAATACCACTGATGACATTGGCCAGAAAAAAAGTTAAACCTGAACTGGATCAAACCTCTAGATCCCTCTGCCGATTTACAGATCTGGGACAGAGGAACAAGTTAAACTGTACCATGGGGAAACAATCAGCAAAATTCAGATGCTAGGAAACTACCAAACAAGCAATCTGATTCTTCAACTAATAAACTGCAAAGGAAAAGATGGTGGGGGGCGGGGGGAACTTAGGAATTAAGAAACTTAAAAGACCAGTCTTAGATTCTGGTTTAAACAAGATGGGTGTGTGTGTGTGTGTATGCATATAAACATTTATATATCTGTAGAGAAATTACGACATTTATGAGACAACTGGTAGAAAGTCAACATCAGTGGAGTATTTGATCTGAAATAACTACTTTCATTTCCTGTTACGTGTGCTAATGGACTGGTGGTAATGTTATATACTATATGATGTACACTAAATATTTACAGATGAAACAGTGTGATACTTGGGACTTTCTTCAAAGTGATAAAGGAGAGAAACAAGTGGATGGGCAGAATTGGCCATGGTTGCTGAGTCTGGGTGATGCATATACAGAGGTTCCATCTATTTTTGTGTATGTTCAAAATTCTTAATAAAACATTCAGGAATAGAGAGGGGAAGACGGTAAGAATGCACCTGGAAATAAACACCACCAATGGCACTCTCCAAGTATCATTGGGCTAGCTACTCAAACTGGCCTCTCCACTCACCTTGTTCTGTTTCAGAGCACTTTTCTCTTTCATGTGGGGACAATCTTTCCCAGTGACAATGGCCTTAATGTCTGCAACAGGAACTGATAAATGATGGGAATTAGTCTCTGGAAGTTCATGCTGCAAGCTGGTCAGTGCCTGCATCAGTGCTGGAACGGAGGTACTGGGGCAGATGCACAGGAAGCCTCAGCCCCAAACTCCAAGGGCTGCTGTATGAGCTTAGTGAGGGTGGTGGGGAGGGTGGCCTTGTACTGTTCCCTCCTTCTTGTAGACCATGGCCCAGTGAGGCTGTGTCAAAGCTAACTGAGGTTCACTTCAGGGCTCTTAGATTTATATCCCCAAGGAATGGGACCTTGGTGACTCCCCTCTCCTCCCCTTCACAATAATGGCAGTGATGATGCTATCATCGCCAACAGCAGTGGCAGCTGCTAACAGTTATGCTGACTACCGGCCAACCACTCTTCTAAGTGCTTTGCATACATTACTCATGCAGTCCTCTTAGGAGGAAAGTGTGGCTATTATTCCCACTTTACAGGAGAAGAAACCAAGGCACAGGGGAGAACTAACTTGCAATTAATTATGATTCAAGTTAATTAGGAGCAAAGCCAGGATTTGAATGTGGGCAGTCTGGCTTCATAGCTTCTCCTCTTAACTGCTGCCTTTCTACTTAGTCATGTACCACCCTTTACACAACACACTCACACCTGAGAACTCATTATTTCTCCAAACCACCCCACCGAGTAGGCCAGGTAGAGGCCATCACTGACAGATAAGGAAACAGGTCCAGAAAGGTGACAGGTACAAGCCCAGATGATCAGCTAGAAACAGCCCGGACTAGAACTCCTGTCTCCTGACAAGTCCAGTGACCATGACACATCAACAGAGAAGTGAACCTACTTTTCTCTTGCAGGGATTCGAATGTCACCTCCCCTTGTGGGTTGTCATCCAAGTCACCATAGTGAAGGACCTTGTGGTTCAGTGCCAACCGGCAGTACCAGAACCGTTCTGGAACACAAGGGAAACCAAACAGGTGAGCAACGACAGTACTGGGAAAGGCCTGGGCACAAAAGGGGCCATCCAGGCAGGCTCTTTCTGGCAGCAAGGATTGCCCTGTCTCCTCTCACCTTGCCTTCGGCGGTTCCCAATCTTTCGGAAGCTGCTGCCCTCACAGAGCCGGTTCAGGCGCTGTTGCTTGATCAGCTCAAGGATCTCGGGCTGGATCTTCTCCCTCAGCTCCCTGGGGCAGACACACACTGGAGTGAGTGGAAGGTCATGGGGACAGTGGAGCTCTGGAAGGAAAGCAGAGCTGGCAGCCACCTCCCCCGCCAGCCTCCCCTGAAATGGAGCTTACACAATTGGTGGGGACTGGAAGTCATCCTGACTCATCCTCTCAGACTGGCGCAGTCGTAGAATCTCAGAGTAACTCAGGCTACGCAGTTTGCTCTTGAACTGATCCAAAGAGTTGGGTTTGGATGGCAAAGCTCGAGTGATTTGCTCTCGGACGACTTGCATAACCTAAGAGAAGAAGAACCCAGCCAACTCACACCATTATTCTTGAGAAATGGACAGGCCTATTATGGAGCACCAAGGCTCTTTCCTACCCCAGAGTCTTGAGCAGGGCAGGCACTACAGACATCTGCTGGGTGAAATAGGTATACCTTCATCTAAGAATGAATAACCATCTAAGGTTATTCAGGTCACATGACTGACACCGATAGATGCTTTATTTCCCATATATTTCAATTGGTCAATGGTGTGGGGAAATGAGCATGGATTTTTGTAGTCAGAAAGAAATGGGTTCGCATCTTGACTCTGTCCCTTCAGCAAGTCACTTAACATCCTTAGGTGTGATCTACTCATCTCTAAACCAAGAGAAAGGAAGACACATCTCCTGATAGGTGTTGTCATAAAGAATATGAGATACCAGCTGGTTGCAGTAGCTCATGCCTATAGTCCCAGCACTTTGGGAGGCAGAGGCAGGCAGATCACCTGAGGTCAGGAGTTTGAGACCAGCCTGGCCAACATGTTGAAACCCCGTCTCTACTAAAAATACAAAAATTAGCCAAGTGTGGTGGCTCATGCCTGTAGTCCCAGCTACTCAGGAGGCTGAGGTAGGAGGATCACTTGAACCTTGGAGGTGGAGATTGCAGTGAGCCGAGAGAGTGCCACTGCACTCCAGCCTGGGTGACAAGAGTGAAACTAGGTCTTGGGAAAAAAAAAAAAAGAATATGAAACACCACATAAAAGGCAGACACAGTGCCTGGCACGCTGTGGTGATTTTAAAAAATGCACTGGTCCCCTTAAAACAACTGTTAAAGAAAACAACAGGATACCACACTGCATGTGCCGTATGATCTCGGTAATGAAGGAAAAACCCATAGGCAAAAAAAAAGACTAGAGGAAAACAAAAATGTTTGTCACTGGATGGTGTAAATACAGGTAATTTTTTATTCTTTATACTTTCCACATTTTTTATAATGAGATGATCAACTTCAAAACACTCAACCCTTAAATGATCAGCTTTTGAGGGCCTGGCACAACAGTGCTCTGCATAGAGTGGGAACTGAAAGCACGGAGGGATAACAATCGATTAAGTACCCAGGGTGTCCACTCTTCTCTCTGCTAACATTCCCAGTTCACAAAACTACAGCAGTGCCTGCAGAGTAAGCACTCAATAAACCAGTGAGTCTTCTGTGCTTATCCTCCTGACCTCTATGGAGGACCGGAGGGACAGGTGCTAACTTCAATGGACAAATGAGGGCCTAAGGCACCAAGTGGAAGACAAGTTCAAGATCACAGAGGGAGCAACAACCAGATGGGGCTGAGCTCTCCAATGCCTCAGTCTTGTGACTCAGCTCTGCAGACCAAGCTGCTTTTCCAGCTCAGGGATTCTCCAGGTGCCAGCCAGCTGTCAGAGGCTGTCGTGTGATGGTCTCCTCCCATGGGCCTCAGAGCAGCCTGGAGACACTGACCTTGTTGAAGTCCTCTGCTGTTGCCCTCATCTCCTTCCAGGTCTTGTTCAACAGCTGGATGCAGATTCCAAAGAGCTCTTCAAAGGCTCGGTCATGGGTAAAGAACATCGGGTGGTAGTCGTTGCGTCCTTCATTTGCTGTGGAAGTGAAAAAACAGGGAGAAGATGAAGCCTCTGTCCACAAGGGCCTGGGAGCTCATGTCCGGAAACTTTGCACCAAAGTCCTGAGGAACAACAGCAGACCAAGGAGCCCAGCTAATGGGGAGTGTGGGATGGGCGTTTCTCACTTCCTTAGCTTTCTTCTCCAGGGTGCATTTTCTTGCCCTCCCTCTACCCTGTTATAGACTCAGCCAGCCCTTACCTACAGGCTTGGGGTAGCTTTGGAATATGATTCAAATTGCCAGCTCAAACAGAGCAACAACCATGATTCCCATAAACAAGGATAAGATGGAAATTATCAGCTGATGCAGTGATTTAAAACAAAAAAAACAAAATTAAAAACCCACCTAAGGTTGTCTAGTCCCACTGACAATTTTTTTTTTTTTTTTTAGATAGAGTCTCACTCTGTCACCCAGGCTGGAATGCAGTAGCACGACTATGCTCACTATAGCCTTGACCTCCTGACACAAGCGATCCTCCTGCCTCAGTTTCCCAAGTAGTTGGGACTAGAGGCATGCACTACCAGCTGGCTAATTTTTTGATTTTTTTTTTTTTTTTTTTTTTTTTTTTAGAGACAGGGGTCTCACTATGTTGCCCAGGCTGGTTTTGGACTCCTGGGCTCAAGTGATCCTCCTGTCTCAGCCTCCCAGAGTGCTGAGATTATAGGTGTGAACCACCACGCCCGGCCCCACTGACATTTAACTGTTTATAATAATTTCCAGTCTCACTGAGCTCTTGATGACAAGGAATGGCTGAAGAAGAGGGAGCTGCAGAGACTTACGTAGTTCCCCAACCTGTAGGATTTCACAGAGCATTTTGGTGAGCTCAATGGCACTGCGGCCAAAGGGGCATTCATGTTTGTCTTCCCGGCTGCTGTTCTCCAAGACAATCTGTCAGGAGAAGAGAAAGGGAGGATTAGGGAGATGAGGGAGGAAGGCAGGAGATGTGGCACCAGGACTGAGGCCAGCTCCCCTGCCTTTACCCGGATGTAGGTGTCCTGGTGGACTTTAGCCAAGTACAGCATGTTGTCCAAGGCCAGCATTCCAGGAGGAGTCTGGGTAAAGTCCATGGCTGGATTGATGTGGTTCTAGAGAAATAAAGACACACAATTTGAGATGTAGTAGTCTCCCTGTGTGCAGGGACCTGAGGGGATGCCCTCTCACCTCTCCTCTTGATGCTGCTACCATTCAGCACCCACCTCTGTCCTAGCTCTTTTCACAGCCATCACCACCACTGAACTGTGAGCTCTTGAGTGCTGGATGGTAGCCGCCTCACCATGCATCCCGGAACCTACTTCGCATGATGCTGCACACCAAGTAGGTATGCAAGAAATACTTCTTTCGGTTAACTCCATCCTCAAGCCCTTACTCTATCACAAAATATTCACACTAGCTTTGCAAAGAACCTAGCAGTTTGGGTAGGAGGACAGGTCCCCTCTCTACCCACTCTAGCTGACCCCAACCTCCCTACAGATGGATTCGTTTCACAGGGCCAAACTTTGCACATAAACTCAGACTCACCATCAACAAAGCAAAGCAAACATTAAAGTCCCACCAGCTTCCTAACTGTCATCTATTCCAGGGTCACCATGGGGTTGCTTGTCAGGGCTCTGGCTGGGTGGCACCATTGACTTCCCATCAAGGGGGAGGGCCTACAACCGTCTATGCCCTGAGGTACTTACAGTAAATCCCAGCATTTTGTAGTCCTTGGTGTACATGGCTTTGCGTTTTTCCGTCCCACTCCCAGGGACATTGCTAGGATCAGACTCTGCGTCAAATGCAATCCTCCTCAGTTCAAATATGATGTCTCTTTGAGCCTGTGAGGTGAAACAGACAGTCAGCAGGTAAATCAGCTAACCAAGGGAGCAAGGAAAAAAAACAGTGGGTCAGGCTTTTCCGGGTCAAACTCTGGCCCCAATCAGTCCCTTAGGAGGCATCACCTCTACCACAGCAGGACAGAAATGGGCTTGGCTCATGGTACAGATCATGCTAGATTTTCTAGGGCAGATGCAAACTACTTCTGCAGACAAAGACCAAGCACAGTGCCTGGCACACAGACTAAGGCTGGACTGCACCACAGCCATGAGAAAACAGCTGCCCCACTTAGCACCTACCTGGTCATTGGGGTCCATCTTGGTCATCATCCTTTCTTCCAGAAGGTTAAAGGTTAGGACTTGAAGGACATACAGCTGATGGGCCATCTCAGTTTTGATGGGGCGGTTCCCTCGGATCACATGCTAGAAAAAGCACAGGTAGGGAGCAGGGGACTGAACTGATCTCTTTTAATGAAGGGTCACATCCATGCTAAGGAAAAGGAATGAATGCTTGGGAAGGGAACAGAACTTTCCTCCAACACACGAGGACTTCATATTCTAGAAGGCGATAGGAGCATGAATGGGCTTGGTTCAGGCAGAGATGACTCACTGCAGGCCTGAAAGGCACCATCCCTTCCTCTGCATTCCCCTGGGCAGGGCAAGTAGAGTGAAGGCAGGGGCTATACCCAACCACACCAGAAATGGGGGAGGCTATGATACAGAACATTGGCGGCTGGACCTTCCTCCAATCAGGCACTTCACAGGCCTACTAAATGCAAAACAGTAGATGGTGTGCATGGAGGCAGAGTTGTTTTTCCCTTAGAAAAATAAAATGTTTTGGATGGCTTCACTAAGCAGAGAGGCTTTGGGAAAGGCCATTTTCTTTCAGTGATACTGAGATAGCTACACAAAGGAGGAACAGTTCACTCTCCCACCAGCTCCCTCCCACGGCCCTCTCTCCTTCCTTCCTTTTGCTTGTCCTCTCTGCTCTCCTATCACTCTGTCCCTGCTCCCTGTGCCGCCCACACCATGTCCCTCTCCCTCCTGACTCTCCCTCCCCACTGTCTCTGTGCCCCCACATTCCCCTAAGGGTCCATCACCTCCTCCTTTGTCCCTCTGATGCCCACCCCCCACTTTAGGTCCCCTGGTCCTATCTCATGTTCTGTCTCTGTCTTTCTTTCGCATGCTGTGTCTCCTTCTGTCTGTCCTAGCTGATCAACCCTTGATTATGTTCCTGTCTCTCACTATCCTGTTCTCACTCCCACAATATCGTGCTTCCCTTCTTGCTCCCTTGTATTTCTCACTCCCCCTGTCTCACCCACCATCATGAATCCTGTCCCTCTTGGTTCTTTCTTGCCGAAATGAGACTCTCCCCCATTTCCCACATGTACCACCACTATGTCCTTCAATTTCCCTACTCAGTAGCCCTGTCTTTAGGGCTGTGCTGTCCAGTATAGCAGCCACTAGCCATATGCGGCTATTTGCATTTAAATCAGTTAAAACAAATTTAAGTTGAAAATTTGGTTCCTTAGTTGCACCAGCCACATTTTAAGTGCTCAGTAGTCACCGTGGCTGCGGCTACAGCGATGCAGATATGGAACACTTCCATTAACAGAGTTCTACTGAATAGCAATGCTCTGGAGCACTCTGACTTTAGGCAGGTATCTGACTCAGTATCTTTTTAAAGCTTCCTCTAACTTTGGATCAGCTCTCCCTAGAGTTTGCTCTGACTCTAGATCAATCTCTTTAGACCTGTGAGGTCCAGTTTGGTAGCCACCAGGCCCATGAAATGTGGTTAGGCCAAACTGAGAGGTGCTGTGAGTGTAAATGCATACCAGATCTTGAAGCCTTAGTAGGAAAAAAGAAAATGTAAAATGTCTTATTAGTAATATTTCACATTTATTACTTGTTGAAATGGTAACGTTTTGGATATCATGGGTTCAAAAAAATATATTACTGAACTGAATTTCCCTATTCCTTTTTCATGCTGCTACTAAAACGTTTAAAATCATGTGCATGGTTTGGGTTCTGTGTCCACTGGATGGTCCTGCTCTAGACCTCTTCCCCTACTGTGACTCCAGTGGTCTCTCCTTTTTCTAGCTGTTTCTCTAGATCTACACTTCCTAATACAGCAGCCATGAGCCACATATGGATATTTAAATTAAAATGAAATTAAAATTACAAATTAGGTCCTCAGTCACAACAGACTTATTTAAAGTACCACACATGACTAGTGGCCACCATTGTGGACAGCACTTCCATAGCATGTGCTAACATGCTGGAGTTAGGCCTCTGCCTGCATCCCTCCCTCCCTCTGAATCGGTGACCATGTCCTGTCCTCTAGCTCCTGCCCTGTCACAGGCACGCCCTCTGTCTCTTAAGCGTGAGATCGCTCTTCTTAGCTAAGTCTCACTGTTTCTTTCATCTCCCCAGCCTTACTCTCTTGTTCTCTGCTCTGTGCCCCCTGCCCCGTAACTTCCCTTCCTTCCCACTCCCCCCAGTTTCTCTTATGGCCAGGGGTTCTTCACTGCCATCGCCACTTCTTTTCCCCTCCATACCTCTTCCTTTGCCTCACTCTGAGGCTTTTCTTCTCTACTGTTCCCTCTATCTCCCTGTCTATCCTATTCCTCTCTCTTCACTTTTCTCCCTAATTTATAAAACAGCCTTGAATAGAGGTGGAAATCATTCTCTTTAATCCTCTTTCTCAAACTTAAGAAACATCAGGGCAGGAAGGTAATTAATTATCCTAGCATCAATGGCTTAAAGAAGTACAGCTCCAGTTTGATGAGTGACAGTTTGAGGTTTTACCTGAAGTCTCACTTGACTGTCAAGTATCTCAGTGTCTTAGTTCTCTGGCTTGACTCAGTGAAGTCTCTGGACTGCAGTGACCATGCATTAGACCATGCATTAGCCATTTCCTGCCAGGCCACTTAAGTCCTGAGTCCTGAAGCTGAACTGCCTTCTATAGTGAAATCTTTACTTGTTCACAAGGTTTGTCCAGAAATGAGTTGAACTTCTAACACGATTAAATTTTAAGTCTCAAATATAATTAAATTTCCCTCAGAAGGGCACTCTCATCCCCACACATGCAGAAGAGGGTGACCAGGACAGCTGCTGAGGAGTGTAGACAGGAATGTGTGGGAACCTGTGTACTCCTGTGGGCTTGGGGCCCCTCCTGCCAGGTTGGTAGCTGGGTGTGACCAGGGAAGCAGCCAGCAGGGAGAAGCTGGTTCTGCAAGGTGAAGTCTGGCAGACTCTGCATGTTTAGAGCAGCTGACTGCTCAGCTTCACAAGTGCTCAGAGCTTACTTCTTCAATCCTGTCACCTCTGCATCCTGTTCTGCCAATATGAGCAGAGTGCCCACTGAGTGCCAGACACCCTGCTAGGCGTGGTATGTACATTACCTCACTTAGTCCTCATATCCAGATGAGCAAACTGAAGTCCAGAGAAGTTATGTGAAATGCTCAAGATCAAAGATTGAAAAATGGCAGACTCCAAAGTCCATGTTTAGCTTAAGTCTTACACTTGACTTCTAATTTTTCATTTTATTCCCTTCACTGTGGTCTCCCAGGTTTCCCTTGTTTCTGACAATTGATAAAGTTGCCTACTTGTTTTTTGAGACAGAGTTTCGCTCTTGTTGCCCAGGCTAGAGTGCAACGGCCCCATCTCGGCTCACTGCAACCTCCACCTCCCGGGTTCAAGCGATTCTCCTGCCTTAGCCTCCTGAGTAGCTGGGATTACAGGCACCTGCCACCACGCCCAGCTAATTTTTGTATTTTTAGTAGAGACCAGGTTTCACCATGTTGGTCAGGCTGGTCTTGAACTCCTGACCTCAGGCAATCCACCCGCCTCGGCCTCCCAAAGTGCTGGGATTACAGGTGTGAACCACCACACCTGACCAAAGTTGCCTCCTTTTAATTCAGATCCTTGGCTCTCCTCCTCCACTCCGACCGGCCTCACCTCCCAACATCGGCCCTACTCCACCCTACAGGTGGTAACAGGGATTTACACTTCTTTCCAGATCCCCCTGCCAACTCCTGCTCTGCTCTCCTCCCTCAGGCACCCCTTAGCAAATACATGTCTTTCATGTGCTCTTTCTAAAATGCAAATCTGGTCTGGTTATTTCACCAGCTTAATTATATGCCCTCAGCTGTCCTTAGGAATGAGACTAACCTTTCCTGATCTGGTCCTCGCTACCTCTCTAGCCTCCTCACCCACTTGCTCCTTGCTCTGTGCCTAATCACACTCTCCTTCTGGGTTCTGGCTACCCTCTGGCTGAAATTTCTGTTATTCTCGGTCTGCCTACTCATCCTCCAAGGCTCACCTGAAGACATTCCTCTAAAAGTTTCCGGAAACACTCTTCTTCAAGGCAGAACTCACTGCTCCTCCTCCATCCTTTCCTAGACCACAAACCGGGATCACACCGCACTATGATCACTAGTCTTTCCTACCGGGCCAGAAGGTCTTTGAGAGCAAATACACTTGCTTACTTAGTCCTGTCAGTGCCATACACAAGTCAGGTTTTTTTTGTTTTTTTTTTTTTTTTTGGGACGGAGTCTGGCTCTGTCGCCCCGGCTGGAGTGCAGTGGCCGGATCTCAGCTCACTGCAAGCTCTGCCTCCCGGGTTTACGCCATTCTCCTGCCTCAGCCTCCCGAGTAGCTGGGACTACAGGCGCCCGCCACCTCGCCCGGCTAGTTTTTTGCATTTTTTAGTAGAGACGGGGTTTCACCGTGTTAGCCAGGATGGTCTCGATCTCCTGACCTCGTGATCCGCCCGTCTCGGCCTCCCAAAGTGCTGGGATTACAGGCTTGAGCCACCGCGCCCGGCCACAATTCAGGTTTTTAATCAGTGTCAGCTGGATGAGTTATTTTCCCTGTTTGTGCCTTTT